CCCAATGTAGCCAGTATAACCAACGTAACCAACGTAACCAACGTAACCACCATACCAGGCAGGCTGCGCGCTGGCTGCGCTAGCTCTGCTGCTTGCGCCTCTCCGCCGTGATGGAGGTTCAATGAAACCAGGCCAGCATCCCCTCTCGAGTTGCTCTCGGTGACTCCTTTTACATGAAATACATCCCCATTGAGGCATTAAAGTCGATGCACACAGAGCGAGCATTTTACTCTGCTCGGTTTCCCTGCTTTCCCTGGTTTCCCTCTGAAAACTACGAGGCAGCAGCTAACCGTACGGCTTTTATTCTCTACTCTTGACATACAAATCAGTTGCTAGCATCTGCTGTTATCTACAGACTAGTAACTAAGCCATATGATAATTAAAATTGTTTAAAAAGCCTCCATCTTTCCTTCTTTTTTTCCTCATTTTCTTTTGCAAGAAAAGAAGCTCCTCTCCCTGTCTGACTGTTTACCCAGCGCTATCACTAGTTACGTACATGAAATTGTATGGGCGCACGCTGCCCTGCCCTCCCTGTGCGAACAGTCAAGTCGCATTTCGAAAATCCAATTTCCATCGAAGTAGATCGAGTTTATACGCATGTCTGTCCCCAACTCCCCAACTCCCCAACTCTCCAACTCCCCAACTCCCCAACTCCCCAACTCCCCAACTCCCCGTAGCCCGTCTAACCGCAAACCCTAATTACTTACAACGTCGATGCAATTATCTACTAGAGTCGATGACTCAACGGCAAGTAACGATCAGTGTTCTCTCGGCATTCTTCGTCGCTTCTCTTTAATCTTTCCCTCTCTTTGCTTATGATTCTACAATGGTCTTTACAATTATTCCGGTTAAAAGCTGGAATTCACTTTGAAAGGATTTCAACGTGGTCCAAAGAGATATTTTGAAAATAGACTTTTCAGATTACGGCTGGTAAGTAATGGCCGATATAAAATGATAGAGCCTCCTCCCGCGTAAGCTGCCCTAGCGCTTAACGAGTCCTGCAGGAAAACGACCAGCGGGGGAAATTAAATATCCGAGGACGGGAGACAAGCTCACGGCCTCTCCTTAACGAGATATAAAAAGGATTTCCCGATGAGGAGGCTGAGAGTGAAACGTTCTCTCGTCTCCCTGGAAGAGGAGAGCCAGGAGTCGCAATGACAATCAGGAGACTGAAGGACGCGTACGTATGGCCGTGATTCGATTAAAAAGGCTAGTGTCCCTTATGACGTAAAATAGATTCTTCTCTCTGGTCCTACCTCCGCGAACGGCGTTCCAGTCTGAAATTCCTTTATGGTGATCGTGATGAGGAAAAGTCCCTTGAGTATGCATTATATCATACGGCCTGAGCAAGCAAAGCAGAGTGGTTGCTGGAAGTTTCGGATCATCAAAATTCATCCAGATCATTCGGGTGCAGAAATTAGTAAATTGAGAAAAATGAATCCTAAATATGATTTGATAAAAATGAAATTTTTAGGTTCACCTGTTGAATCTAAATGACGTCTCGCGAAGGTCCAGAACTCGAAAAGCGAACTCCTAAAGGCGAATATGTTCCTCGTGTGGTGAAGCACAACGTGCTGCATTGCGGAATACATTATCCGTCCGTCCATCGGTGTCTTTCGTCTTTCGTCTTTCGTCTTTCGTCTTTCGTATTTCGTACAATTCATAGTTTCCGTTGCATAATTTGCACCTAGTACTTTCCGTGTACCTCACAAAAAGGTCGTCGCCACTTTCTCTTCTCCAGGTTGTTATTTTTTATAAAAATTCTTCATCTTTTCATCATTTTCTCTAAAGCAAACGTGTCTGCGGCGCACCACGAATCCTGGCTCTGGCAGCGAGTGTCCCCTGCGTATGTTCTCCTCGTCCTTGCGACGTGTCCCCTCCCCCCCCTCCCCATATAACTGCAAAACGACAAAGAAAAGGAATTTCTCTCTTCCATTGGCTAAAAAAGAGATTTCCCTAAGGCTGACCCGTCGCCGTCGTCACTACTGCCGACTGTCTTGCCCAGCAAGGGGAGATTTCGTTTGGCGAAACTACAGCGAAGAGTGAAGGTGTGCGGATGAGGGCGCGGATGAGGCCGTGGATGAGAGCTAGGAGGAAGAGGCAGAAGGAAGCTCTGGAGTAGGGGGTTAGGGAGGCCATGGCCCATTTTCACGCAGTGACGTCAAACTGGATTCGCGTCACTGGATCCCGTAAGTGTGTTAAGTTTCAGTATAGAGACGCGAAGGGGTGATCAACGTTTGAACGTTCGTGAAGCTTCGAGGCGGAGGAAACTCAATTGAACCGAAGTGAACTGCCGAACCGAGAACTCTTACGGTCGCAGCACCTGAGCACGAGAGCACCGCTCTCTCGACCATAACGACGTTCATCCCTCGGCCCGAGTCGGTCGTCTCTCGAGCATCCACACACACACACACACACACACACACACACAGAGAGAGAGTGTGTCGCTGCGATAATCGGAGACGTTCTCCTACGAAATCGAACGGTTTCCGTGATGATCCTGACGCGAAGGATCGAGCAGTGCCACTTGGGCGTACTCAGCGGCATGACGTGCAAGCCCAGACTAACTAGGCCTAAACGCTTTATCTCAATTAGACTTAATGGCTAATTTCGGAGAGTAGTTATGGCCGTGGGCCCTCGGCAGTCGTGAAGAGATAACCAAAATACATCCTTGATTCGATAGGACGGCGAGACTCGATAGTCGATAAAGGCACAGGTGGAGGATCGATTAATCCTAATGACGAAGGATGCTCGTACCGAAGAATAAAGCCGAAAGTGCTGGACATCGATCGAGGCCCAAAACGACACACGGGGCAGCACAGTCGGCGCCATCCTTTGGGTCAGTGAATCTCGAAACGTCCTCGGCGCACCGGCAGCCCTGACCACCAGCTGTCATTTTCTCGCGCCTGTTTCGCGGCGGCGACGCTGACGGCGACGCTGACGGCGACACCTGTTGGCTCGGTCGAAGATTGTCGGTTGGACGTAGATTGTCGACGATCGCTTGACGCTGCCAGCAAAAGTTAGCTGGATCCTCTCCTGGGCCGGCGTACTTCCCTCGAAGGCAGTGGCCCTATTACGTGAAATTGGTTCATTAGCTTCCATACCAGTGGGCTATATTTGGTTGGATGTTGTTGTCTAGAGAATGGTCGGAGGACGTCGCGGCGCCTGGCGTCTCTTCACCTCTGGCCAATCGATAGAACGTTGCTATACGGTGGACCACGGCAGCCCCTGCCACCCTCTCCCTACTCTCCCTCAGCCCCCCATTAATGATGCCATTAATCATTGGTCGGTTCAAGCAGAATGGGTCAAGACAGCTTCGAATGGCTGCGAGTTGGTCTCACAATTAGTTCCCCTTAACATTTACTCAACAGAAAGCTCCAATTTTAGTTATTTTTTGTTGACACTACTGGGTGCCATAAGAGCAAACTTAAATGTCTAGGTATCGAGAACCTTCTCTCGATTTACGCGCCATAAATTTTACATCTTCTCGCATGGATCACTTTGATGTGCTACTTATAAGGTGGTCCAAAGTTGCGTGCAGCCATCTGCATCTGCAGCTTACGATTAAATTTCCCCTTGAGGATTCGTCGATTCAGCCGATGATCCTTTTATCGCCTTTTTAAACCTTCTGTCGCAACGATTGCATTGCTGCCGGTTAATCGCTTCAAAATAGTCGCTGACATTCGACGATTTCTCCCTTCCATCTGAAAAGTTCCGCCGGCCGAAAAGTACTTGCCATCACCAGTGAACCAACAAATCAGTAATTACTTGATGCTCTCATCCTCATCCATGGGCGCAGCAGCATGACTTTAAGAAAGAACGAGGCTGAACAATTTTAGACAGATGTTTGCCCAACCTTATTTCAACATAAATTGCAATGCTACCTGATACCTGGAATCATAAATAAAACATGGATATGAACGTTGGCTGGGCAGGCGCAGCCAACTCACTTTGAAAGATGCCTGTGTAAGATGCCTGTAGATGTTCTAGATACGTTCAATACAACTGACCCTTATAATCCTCCGTACATTTTGAATCTACAAGCCCTCTTGGTCGAGCCTGTATTCGAAAGACGCAACCCGTCATCAGCACATTGGCGGAGGCGCATTGGATGAGCTTGTTCCGCGCCTGCCTTTGGTCATTAAATTACACGTTCGTAACGCAAGTTTACTACCCCCCCCCCCCAAAG